TCGTGCCTTGCTGCCAGACCTCGGAAAATGCAATTTCATGGGTCACCGATTGACCTCTTTTCTTCTCATATGCTCCTAATTTCACTAGGTTTGTCACAAAAAACTACTAGAAATTGTCACCATTAGAAGTATGTATTTGTCAGTTCCCATTATTTAGTATTCAATTTAATCTTTATGTTGTATATGAATTGAAATTATAAAATTATTATTAAAAAAAAGGAATAGCTAATTTGTTTCATCTTTGTATGGAGTTTTCTTTTCAAGTCTTCATCTTATAAAACATTTGATATATGGTTCTTCAAGGTATGTGAAGCTAAAAAAAATGAACATCAAACTCACTTAGAAAGAAAAACTACCTGATGCACCAAGAGATGAATATGATGATATGCTTCATGCCCTACGTCCTTCCCATTAGAAAGAATTCAGATTAAGGAAGTCATGGGTTTTGTATTACATAACATGGAAACTGCTGGAAAGGTAAATATTGCAGTTTCTGTTTCACATCTGGTAAGGGTAAAATGGTCATTTATATAAAACCAATGTTTTAGTGTATTGGTGTTCCTTTTTTTCTTAATCAACTTTATTGGTTATTGTGTATTGTTATCAAAGTACTAATTTTTTCATATTCAGTTTTGATTGTATTCAAGATTTAAGATAAGTTTTCTTAAAGAAAGTTATATCTTTATATGCTAACTTCTTCCCTCTAATCATCATTTAGTAAACTAAATGAAACATGGAATACATTACCAAAGTAAACCCATTCCATGAAAATCTTACTGCCATTAATTTCCACTGAATCGAATAACTTGAAACTTTAGTTTCTTCATGTCTTTTGCAGCTTGTTAAAAGCACAGTGACAATCTGTAGGGATATTCATGGATAATTTCATGATCTTGCAGAGCTTTTTAGGATTAATGGAAAGGTGTGTGTTATGTAATGATATAATAAATTGATATGATATAACTTATAAGCATTTTCACACTGCTAGCTTCATCTGCATTTCATCTTAATTTACGCCATTGGCAAATTTCTTGCTTTCTATTTCACGCTTCTCTCTGGAAATCGAGTCACCAAAATATTGTCTCCTTTGATGTCTTCCAATTTTGATTGATTCCTTTGATGGGTTACGGTTTAGATTATTCTTTACAAGGTGATGATGTATGTGATTTTTGATTATGTTCATCGGTTCCGACTTTTATTCTTTTATACTGACTTGGACTCTGTTTCTTTTAAAAAAAATGGCATATTTCTTATTATATAATTTTTTTCCTTTCCATTTTTTAGATGTAGGGAACAACATGAGTTGCAATCGTTGGTCCTCTTGGACCTATCACACCTCAAAGAAAACCGATGATTAACTTCGCAAAGCAAAATATTGTTGTTGCTGATGGTGTAAGGTTCTGCAATCTTCTACATAGAACTGCACATTCAAAACATTATTTTATGTTTTAAATAATTATTTAAATGTTGATAGGAATGAACGAAAAGCGCACACACACAAAATTGCAGTTTTTTATAAGAAAAGTAAAATAAAAAAATGTTAACTGAGTTTTTATGTTGGTTTTCCAGATTGGATCAACGGAATGGGTTGAAGTAAAAGAAGCTATGTTAGCTTCAAAAGTTGTTGCTTACTTAAATGTTGATATTGTAGTTTTCCGGAGCAGAGTGGTGAAAATATTCTAAAGGTTACACCTCGAGAGTATAACTGACTATCTCCTCCAGTAATGCCTTCGGTAAGCCCACTTATTAACCGATTGGATAAAGGAAATTTTAGATATTTATATACCACAATACTCATAAATACCGTTTTTTTTTTTTTGTTAAAAAACTGTAATTTAGACATTTATCAATTTGCCCCTACATAAAGTTTCGTAATATCTATGATTAAATTGTTACTACAAACATTATTTTAAAATATGCATCTACATATATTTTGACCATAATGCAGTTTGCTTTGTTAATTTTAGAGAAAATAATTTATTTTTTTGAGTTTTTGACCAAAATGCCCCTACATATAGTTTTTAATTCCGCCCCCCTCCCCCACCACCACCACCACCACCACATATAGAGTGATTATAATGCAGTTTCTTGGTTTAAATATTAGAGGACTTAAAAGTATGCCTAAATTGCCCCACACTATAGTTTTATTTAGTTACATGATTAATAATTATATTAGGTATGACCCAAATGCCCATATTAACTGTTTTTTCCTAATGATTGCTAATACCATTTTTGATCAAAAATCACATACATACATTTGTTTTCGTTAAAAGTTGAGTGATTCAAACAGTTTTTGACGAAAATAGCCCTACATATGCTATTTAATTATACCCCTACATACATTTCGATCATAATGCAATTTCTTGTGTAAAAATGTAGAAAATTTGAAAATTTTTGACAAAATTGACATAACTAGTATATTTCCGTTATATATATATATATATATATATATATATATATATATATATATATATATATATATATATATATATATATATATATATATATATATATATATATATATAATAATAATAATTTTAATAAGTATGGCCTTATATACAGTGTGTCAATAATGCAGTTTATTTAATTAATTGAATAACTTTCTTAGGTTTTTACTGTAATACATGAATGAATATGGATCATGAGTATGTTACCATTGTTTTATTTGCGTTTTTTTGAATGATTGTTTTATTGGGGTGTTGATATTTTGGGCCTTCTTATTTGATTTCAAAGCTAATAACGAATTTCGTTTGCAGACCACGAAAATTTGGGAAGCTGTGGAAAAGTAAATCTGAACTTGCATAAAGTTCATTTAGACCACCTTATGGAGCTGGTAATCCTGTAATTTTTCCACACATTTGGCATATGGATTTATTAACCCACAAGACCAAGAGGGTAATATTGTCATATCTACAATCTTTACTCCTTAAATTCTATTGTTTACATTGTTTTAGAGTATTCTAATCAGAAGAAATCAAAGATTATAATGATAATCATAAGGACAATTACCCATTGTTGCTTCTTTGTTTCTTTGTGTTTCTGTTTGATTTGAGGATGCAATATGCACATAAGTTTTGATGTTTTTTTTTTTTTTTTTTTTTATTTCTTTGGAATTGTATATGAGATTTTGGTTTCTTGGGCTTTAGTGACTATCCAGACATTTAATCTTGAAAATGTTCTCTTACAGGATACAAATGTTGCAAATTGTTTGCACTCTACACAAGAAAATGTTTTTTTTTTTTTTTTTTTTTTTTTGCATTACTATGTTTCTATATCCAACTTTTTACGACTTTCATACATAGGCTTTTATTGATGAGTAATTTCTTTTGCATTTAAGGATTCAAACATTAGTTCCCAGCAAAAGCAAAAACAACCATAATACATATTGAAAAAGAAAAAAATAAAACTTAGATCAAAACCTTAAAACAAATTCGTCCGCTATCGGGTGTTTGTTTCCCAAGATACAACAGTTTGAAATTGTTCTTCTAGACCATCCAAACCCTCAATAAACATGGATTATATCCTCAATATAGTAAGAAAAAAAAAGAAGATGAAGTAGAGAAGAAAAGAATTTTCTTTTAGTCTTTTAGTGTCCTCAAATGGTTGTAGAGTAGTGATATTTATACTACACATTCTATAACCTTCCATTTAAACACCTCTATTAATCACAAAGATTAATTTGTGTTAATATGCAATTAAATTGTAATATTAATCACAACTTCAATTACGAAAGAATGAAATATTTGCAAGAAAGGTCCCTGAATTTTTCTTTTCTTTCTCTCACCCATTACACTCTTTTATTTATGTCTTCGAACACCCTTACTTTAAGGATTAATTTATCATTCGTTTTTTTTTTTGAAACGGCAAATCTAACCTACTCCTAAACTACACCTTAAATCCACCTATGTCCACGACGGGACTTGAACCCTCAACCTCAAGTAGGGAGGGCAACACTGGATACCGCTGGGCTACAAGCCCTTTGGTGATTAATTTATCATTCGTATTAAATCCATTTTGAACGTGTTAAAAAAAATAAGGAAAACCCATTTTAATAAACTAATTAACACCAATTTAAAATAGGAAAACCCATTTTAATAAATTGATTAACACCAATTTTCCAGCAATTTTAAACGACCAAAATAAGAAGCCAAAGCTATGAAAGAATACATTCAATGGATATACTCGGAACAACACCTACCCTATAACACTCGTGAGTATGTGTTAGCTGTTTTGGTATTAAAGACAAAAAAAATATATACAATTTTTAATTTATGAATAATTAAATTTCGTTAATTTTGACCATTATGTATAAGAATGTATAATAAGGGTTTAATAGACATTTAAATTAGCCTAAGGGTATTAAAAGTCATTAACGGAAACTAAAGATAAACTATATAAATTCCGGAAATATCAAAGATTAAAAGAAAAAGAAATTCGGGGTAGATTATGAAGCAATGATCATAGATTAGGCACAAAAAATGTAACTTGAGAAATTGGATTACAATTAAACGGATCACCTCTTATTCAATACGGCCTACAAATGGGTTCCAGAATTTTCACAATTCACATGAACACGTACTTCCTAAGGATTTCCTTTCCCAAACACAAATTTTACCTTAACTTTTCAAAAACAAAATTTCACTATATTCTTCAATTTTAACTCAAGTTGAAATTAACAAACAAAAATCATAAATATGTAAACAATTAGCGTCTTAATACAATAAACCATGCTTTTTTTTTTTACGTCATTATAAGTTAAAAAGAAAACAATCATTTCTAGATTAAGTTCTTACCTCATTAAGTTAAAAAGAAAACTCACCTTATACTCTTCATACTTCATGTTTTATTTCAAATTAAAACATACAACTACACATTAAAGTCCTCCAAAAGTCATTAACTTAGTACACAAATACCACCATCAAGATCCAAAATAGAGTTGACACAAGTTCGAATCCCACAGACTACTGATTAAATACACAAATATTCTCAATAATCAAAACTCACACAGACAACTCCGTTTTGGAGATCAAAATCCCATCCGTATCCGCATACAAATACTCCCCATCCGAAATCCTAGTCCCACCAATCATAACCGCCACATGTTTCTCCCCAATCCCCTTCTTATTCGCCTTCACGGGATGAGACGCAAGCGCCCTCACACCAATATCACAACTATTAATCTCATCAACATCGCGTACGCACCCATTGACCACAATGCCGGCCCACCCGTTATTCTGGGCTTGCACCACGGGATTGCCGCCCAGTATGGCACACCGTAAGCTTCCACCACCGTCAACCACTAGAACGCGCCCGTTTCCCTTTTCTTCTAGAAACTCACGCACTAAAACATTGTCTTCGAAGACTTTGAGAGTGACAACGGGACCTGAGAACACCTGGCGTCTCCCGTAGATTTGCAGGACGGGTTGCAGTGCACGCAGTTCGCCGCTTACGATTAGTTGCGGGTTCGCGTCGCATACTTCCGCGGTTGTTACTAAGGCCATGTCGTAACTTTTGTCTGTAGAAATGCAAGAAATAGCAACGTACTTTTATTTATTTGTTTTAGTATTTGTTTCTTGTAGCATCTTGCTTTTTTTTGTCTTATTAACACAATGGACTTTGAAAATCTAACCAATTATAGCATTGTATGTTTCTTTTTTGTTGTTAAGAGAGTGTACTTTGAAGATATACCTAATCATAGTAAGTGAAAAATGTTTTGTATTTCAAAGACATTGCTATAATTGGGTATGTTTTTACCCTATGTAAATAAAGTAAAGTAAAAACATAGCAATGATTATGTGAACTCAATGTTTCATGTGTCAAAACTTATGCACTATTTTTGCTACAATGACATATATTGCAAAATTTGAAGATATATAAGATTAATCCTATTTGTTTAGATCATTTGAGATTATCTGTGAGAATAAATAAGCATATGATTATGTCCATCCTACTTCACATGCCCAATTAATGTGTGTCAAGCTGAAACCACATATAAAGTTTCTGTCAAGTCTTTATAAATTCCCATTGTCTAATAATTGCAAGAAAAAAAAAAGCAACTACTTTTCAAATAGAAATAGAAATTGGATCTAACTTTGCTAAGTAACATGCAGATTATGAACATATTTGTTGATGTTGACCTTAAGTTGTCAGTCAAACTAGTCAAGAAAGGTAATAATAATCACATATTCATTGCCCGATATGTTAAAAAACCACAAAAGGAAACACGAAACAAGATTAATTACATATTTATGAAAAGATTTGAGGTAGTAGCTTTGGATTATCATGTCCTTTCAGATGTAACCTAAATGTAGATCTTAATATTTTGAAGAAAACTTTACGAACAGAATTGAAGTTTACAGCTCATGTTAGAGATATAATGGTGCTGATGTTAAATATGGAACGAAGGCCTAAGAAATTTGCGTATGAAAACTATTTAAGCTCGGAATACAGTGAAGTAACAAGATCTAGCCAGACATCTGCTGGATAACTGGATTGCTAGTGATCTTATCCACATCTAACTGATTACCGATGAGAAGAACTTGAAATAAGGAGAATTTATAAAAAGGTATTTCCTTCTTTCTAAATTCAATCTTTATTTTAACTCCTTGTTACAATTATGATGTGTTTATTCTTAAACCTTCAATTGATTGGATGAAACTTCAATTTATCCTTAAATTGATGAGTTTGTCTAGGTAATCTTCTTCTTCTGATCATTTATCTACGAAGAACTATCACAAAATCACAACAAACGATCGAATCAGAAAACGTACCAGATCGAGAGAATCAGCTGATGGCGTTCGATAAGTGGAGGATGATCGAGATCGAGATCGATATAAGCACGAGAACCACAAGATTGGGTTTTTTCTTCCAACTTTTACATGTAGATGCACATGTTTGATCTATGAAGTTATATGGATTTAAAAAAAGAAAAATCGAATAGTCCAATTGATCAATGATCATCGTATACACAGTTTTTCTTTGGAGAGATAGGGACCGTATAGATAGAATAAAATCTCATTACTTTAATTATTGTTTTCGAGATAGAAAGAAATGCTAGATAATGAAGGTGAAAATAATAATAAAAATAAAATAAACTTTTACTTTTACTTTTACTTTTACTTTTGCTTTTACAGTTTTATATTGGGGTATAAAAATACCTGGGGCATTTTGAACTCGTTATCCAAAAAAATTACGTGAAAATTGATGATGGGTTATTGTTAGAAAAAATTTATTATTTGGTTTTAATTTATAGAAAAGTTTTAATTTTTGTTTTTTTAATAGAAGAGTATTAATTTTCTTAACATTTTGCCTAAATTAACATATTATCTTTTTTAAAGAAAAAATGATAAATTTTCATATAAAATTATATTCTCGTGATTTTTCTGTTTAAAAAAATAAAAATTAACATTTTTCTATAAACTAAAACAAAATAATTAGATTTTTCTAATAATAACCCATGAATGATTATTTAGAAATTTGATTGCTTATAATTTGTTAAGAATACTATTCTTTTGGAGTAAATTATAGTTTTGTTACATATGTGTTATACGTCTTTTGGAAGTGTGATTTTAGTTTTGGAAATTTGATCCATCGAATCTTCATAGTTGTCAAATCTATCGGTTTTGATCTCTATTGCAGTTACTGTTATAATCAGTGGCGAAGCCAAACTCAAAAGAAAGGGGTATTCTAATTTTTTGTCCTGGGTATCACCATAACGGCTAAGCATGGGTTGGAGCGGGTTAGTTTTTCCTAGAATCGAACCCAAAACCGACAGCCTCAGTTTTGAAAAATTTAAAACCTAACCGAACCCAAAACCATTGGTTTGGTTTTTCGGTTTTCAATTTGTACTTCGGTTTTCTGGTTTGGTTTTGGTTTTAAACTCAAACTTTAATCGAATCGTTAGCTAACTTCAAGTGTTGTTATATAAACATGAAGTTGAAGTATTTTTCGATACTTTAATCGATGTGGACTTAAAAGTAGATATCAAATAAAACATGAGGATAATAAGCTTATATAACAGATAAAAATAACTAAGTTTACATGTGTTTGGTGATGTGGGATAGAATAGCTGAAAAAATTTAAGAATAGAATAGTTGGAAAAATAAAAAATATGTAAACAAATTATTTGTAAGGAGCAAGAATTTATCCTCAGACCTTTATTTCAAAAAGCCAACACCTTAAACAGTAGACTAGCTATTTGTTTGTGCTTATATGTGAAAAGATGCGTATATATACACTACATAAAACGATTTTTTTTCCTAAAAAATTTACACTACTAAAGTTTTTTTGAGGGGTATCCCGGGATACCCCTTGGATCCACCCTGGTTACAAGGTTGTTCTGTTAAGTACGCATGAAATTGTAATACCTCATATTTCAAACCAAAATTTTCATTTTTAAATTACACAAAATATTGTTCATAAACTAAACCATATGAAAATCACAAGTATCAAGTACAAATCATCACTAAAAATATCAGAGTGCTACAAAATGCCCGGTAACAAAATCTCCTAGTGAGTTTGTACAATCAGGCCTTTATTTTCCTGCGATCCTCAAAAGTACCTGAAACACATATAATCAACAATTGTAAGCACGAAGCTTAGTGAGTTCCCCAAGATATCTCATACATCATAACACATAAACAGCTATGGGTTATCAACAACCCTGGAGACTACATAAAGTCTCAGTAGGCAATAGCATGCACTATGGGTTATCATCAACCCTGGAGAATACACGAAGTCTCAGTGGGTAAATAACACACAATGTGGGTAATCAGCAACCCTTGAGACTACATGAAGTCTCAATCACATATAAACCGCATAATCATGATAATAACAGTTAGACCCACCAGGTCATCACATATACAACTATTCTACCATACAGGTAAGAATAAGTGAGGAGACTCACCTGATACTGATGACAGCTAAATCTCACACCCGAACTGTCGGAACTAGACTCTTCCTAATAAACACAGCAAGTAATCCTAGTCAATTAGGGTTATAACCCGACTAATCGGTCCAAACCCACAGCTACGCCCCTGAAAGGAAAAAAGATAATTTTGCCCCTCTATAGTCCAAAACCCTAAAACTTTTGTCCAAAGTCAAAAGTCAGCAAAAGTCAACAAGTCCATATTCTCGCCTATATGCGGGGCATATATGTTCCTAAGCGGGGCGTACAACTCGAGTCAGCAAACACTGGGGACGGGCCTAGCTACGCAGGGCTTATTCAGGAGTATACCCAACGTACTTTGCATGGTCCATAATCAACAACTATCATGTGTTAATCCTTTAAGACACCTATCCCAACTGCAGATCTGACCACTATAGAATGTCTTAACCCATAAAGTCATTAACTTTAAGCCTTTGCATGGCTATATAGGGCTCAATACACAAAACCTTAACTTCTACTACACTCTAAGTCACTTAACTCATGCATGGGCCAAGGGAACAATCAAGTGACCATTTTTATGAATCTAAGCACTCTAATACATCTAGAAGGACAACCAATATGCTTTGGAGTACCCCCAAACTTATAAAGGTCTAAGATTTAGGACAAAAAGCTCATAAAAACCCATCTAAAGAGATCTAGGAAGAACATCAGCAAGGCATGGACTTTATACCTTCAAAAGATTCACAAAGTGAGGTAGTTTCTTGATCCATAAGATTGCAAGCAACATCACCTTCTTCAATAGCCTTCTTCTTCAACAACAAAGCACCAAAATCACTAAAAAGATTCAAAATCTTCACACACAAGGTTGAGACTCGATATTAGGGGTTGGAAGGAGTGGAGGCTGATTATGGGAGGTCCAAGGGTGAGTTGATGTGTTTAAATAGGGGTTAAACCCTAAAATTTAGGGTTTGAAATCACCTCGGGTACGCCCGACGTACTTCCTCGTACGCGCAGCATACACTGCCTCCGCCCCAACTCAATTAAGGACTTACGCCCGGCGTACATGGCTTGTACACCCCCGCATTATTCGGAAGTTCTCAATACTTGACTCAATAAATAAATAGATTGGTACCTCGAAATTCGGGATGTTACAGAAATGACTAAAATGCACCTATTTTTTGTCTTCTTATTTTTTATATCTTTTTGTTTTCAAAATTATTATTATTACTAAATTAGTTAATGGGGCCCACCCTATACCTTCACCACCACCGCCCATTGTATATTACCACCATAACTACCTTATACCATTATTGATGTCGTCTGCTCTACCAATATTGTCTTCATAGTCACCAACCACCAAACACCATAGTCACAATCATCACCATTATCGCCACCACCAACATCATCACTACCGACACCGATCACCATCACCATCAACCTCAAATCCCTAGTCTGAAATTACGACCAAATAAAACCCTATTTTTAAAATTAAATCAAATCTAAATAATAAATGGGAAGGATGGACCTAATTAAAAGCAAAGTCAGAGAATGGAGTTGTAATGGAGATAAAGAAAGATGGTGGTTGGAG